AAATTGCATAGAGCGTTCAGTGACTTGATCAAAGTGCACCAGGCTGCAAAGCTTTGATGTTGATTGCTAATGTTTCAGGAATCCAAAGGAAAAAAAATAATAATCCCACACATGCATTTTAAATTAATGCTATCACCAATAATCCACATTTCAAATCTAGCTGTATTGTTGTAGAGAAAAAAAGGAGTTAAAAGTAAGAATTTGATAATGAAGCACTGTTAGTTTAGTTCTATGATAATGTTACACAGATATTTTCTAACAAACAAATGAAATTTCTTGAAAGGATTAGCACTATAGGTCAAAATGGAGAATTATGACTTCCAAATCAAATATATATATATATATATATATATATATATATATATATATATATATAAATTCCGCAGCCTAGGAACACAGCTGCTGAAAAGAATATTCAGAACTTCTGACATACATTTCGCGTCTTCTTGACACGTGTATCTTCAATGTATACAGGCTTATACATATACAAATTTTCCCACTGAAGCATGCCACACACATACATAGAATAAAAATACGCCTTTTACAAGTAATTCCTTTTCAACAATCTAGTCAATGTAAACTATGTGATAATACTATTTGTTTTTTGCTGATTTATTTTTTATTACAATTTATTCACTTTGTATCCTTGCTGTAGCTCCCTCTCTCATCTTATCCCAGTACTACTCTCCCTCCCTTTTCTCCTCCTAGGCCCCTCCCCAAGTCCACTGATAGGGAAGGTCCTCCTCCCTTACTGATTGACCCTTGCCTAACATGTCTCATCAGGACTGGGCTGCATCATCTTCCTCTGTGGTCTGGCAAGGATGCCCTGACCACCACCACAGGGGGGAGGTGATCAAAGAGCTGGCCATGGAGTTTAGGTCAGCCCCTGCTCCTTTTACTAGGTAACCACATGGAGACTGAGCTGCCTATGGGCTTAATCTGAGCAGGGGGTCTAGGTCCTCTCCATGCATAGTCCTTGGTTGGCACATTTGTCTCTGCAGGCCATGTGGGCCCAGGTTTTTTGGATCTGTTGTTCCCATTATGGTGCTCCTGTCCCCATCCAGGTCTTTCTATCTTCCCTTTCATAAGATTCCCTGCACTCTGCTCAAAGTTTGGCTAATGAGTCTCAGCATCTGCTTTGATACCCTGATGGGTAGAGTCTTTCAGAGTCCCTTTCTGGTAGTCTCCTGTCCTGTTCCCTGTCTTCTTCAGCTTCCAATGTCTATACTGTATGCCCTTCTGAACGAGGATTAACCCTCTTCCCTAGGGTCCTCCTTGCTGTTTAGCTTCTTTAGGACTATAGATTTTAGTATGTTTATCTTATATTATATGTATAATATCCACTTATAAATGACTATATACCATGCGTGTCTTTCTGCTTCTGGGATACCTCATTCAGGATGATCTTTTCTAGTTCCATCCATTTGCCTGCAAATTTTATGATTTCCTTCTTTTTAATTGCTGAGTAGTATTCCATTGTGTAAATATACCACAATTTCTGTATCCATTCTTCAATTAAGGGACATCTAGGTTTTTTTCCAGATTCTGATTATTATGAATAAAGCTGCTCTGAACATAGTTGAGCAAATGTCCTTTTTGTATGGTTGAGTATCTTTTGGATATAGCTGGATCTTAAGGTAGCATGATTCCTATTTTTCTGAGAAAGTACCAGATAGATTTTCAAAGTGGTTGTACAAGTTTACATTCCCACCAGCAGTGGAGGAGAGTTCCCCTTTCTCCATATCCTCTCCAACATGTATTATCACTTGAGTTTTTTTAATCTCAGCCATTCTGATGGGTGTAAGGTGAAATCTCAGGGTTGTTTTGATTTGCATTTCCCTGGTGACTAAAGATTTTGAACATTTCTTTAAGTGTTTCTTTGACATTCAATATTCCTCTATTGAGAATTCTGTTTAGCTCTGTACCCCATTTTTTTTATTGTATTACTTGTTTTGTTGGTGTTAACCTTCCTGAGTTCTTTATTTATTTTGGATATTAGCCCTCTCTCAGATGTAGGGTTGGTGAAGATCTTTTTACAGTTTGTAGGCTGTTGTTTTGTCCTGTTTACAGTGTTCTTTGCTTTGCAGAAGCTTTTTCAGTTTTACAAGGTCCCATTTATTGATTGTTGCTCTTAGAGCCTGTGCTGTTGGTATTCTGTTCAGGAAGTTGTCCCCTGTGCCAATGAGTTCAAGGCTCTTCCCCACTTTTTCTTCTAACAAATTTAGTGTGTCTGGTTTCATGTTGAGGTCATTTGCTTATAAAATTATGTAACAGTAACCTAAATTATTTTTTCTGGTAGATCATCTTGAATGTGTTTTTAACTCAGTCATAGAGTAGTTCAAAATAGCATCATGGCTTGAACCCTAATATTTGTAAAGTGTCATACTTTCAGAGATACATGATTACCTGTCTTGAGTAAATTTTGAGAATCTTACTGATTTACAAAGCTTGCTAAGGGAGCCTTCTATCAAGAATATGTCCAGGAACCACGTACTTCTCATAGTACAAGCAAAAGTGCTACTTATTGTTCAGAAAATCAGAAAACATAACCCTCAGCCTTTTCTTTCCATTTGCTTTGTATCAGCTTTATTGTCTAAGAATCAAGAATCTGATTTTGAAGAAGATTCTTACAAATTTAAAACTTTCAGTTTGAAAGAGTTGTTTAGAAAATTTTAAAAAACTAAAATTTGTATAACATCTTTAGGGGAAAGTGGGCCTAAAATGTTCAGACATTACATCATCCTTTCTTTTTTTTAAGCCGGCCTGAGAAACATTTGGGGCAGGTATTTTACATGTGGTCTGACAGAGGCAGAGAAAGATACAGATTCTTGCCAGTAGCCGCACCATAAATCATCTGTAGCGTTAAATACAGTGCTCAAAGCACAAACAGAGCTTTGGGATCCTTCATTCTTCCCATTAAGCTGGATAGAATTGAAAATAGAAACCATATTATACTGATTTAAACATAAGAAAAAGAATTTTTTTACCACAACGAGAACAAAAGCCATCTCATTAATAGTGTGTATACATTTTTATTAGAAAATTGACATCAAAGACATGCTTAGCGCATTTAAATTTTGACCTTTTCTTACCTCTCTCTATCATTTGAAAAGAAGGTAATGAGAGTGACGTGAAAACATGTAATGCAAACATAAAGAATAAATATGATAACCTCCACAGCCTGTGATTGTCTTCAAGATTAAGATTACCCCAATAAAAATTTTCACAGTGGAAAAGATAGCTGACTTATTGTCAGATTGATTTTTGTTGTGGTGTTCGAGAAGAATGAATTAACCCTGTCCAATGTTCACCAAATTCTTACCAGGTGCAAGCTCTATGGGCTAGAAGGTATAGAGTTTGATGAAAGCTAAAATACACTCCTATTCACACAGAAACTATGTGGTAAATAAAATGCATTGTTATAAAAATCTAATGGGAGTTGAGCACATTTGAATCTAATTAAAATAGACACTATTTTATGTAGTCCTGGATACGCTAGTCCAACCATATGAAGAATGCTGTATAATGGAAATCTTGCATGGAGAAGAGTGTTGATAGATAGGTCTTGTGTTGGAACTATGAGGTCACTGGTTTATATCCTGAGTAGAAAACCTGGACCTATTCCATGAAAAACAGCTGCTTTTGTAAAATGTCTTGCACACAAATGGAATTAAACAAGCTACTGTCATTTTAAGGATTCCACAGCTCTGAAAGACTGGTGGATGTATTAACTTACACATTTGAGATATGCTCAGCATGAAAATATGTTTCCTTGAAATATATTCATGACAGAAAGGGTTGGCCAAAATAATATTGATTTAGATATTTTTTCAAATTATTATCTCTGAAAGCTGACAATAAGTATTAAATGGCTTATGTTTCAGGGTTCAGTTATAGCCACATGAGTTAAATTCTAGGAAGCCATCCAAAATTTAAATTCAGACAATATGAATTAACTAATTTCAGCTGAATTAGAGATCAAATACTTAGTATGCTCATTTCATCACCCCCTCCAATGTTCTAATTATCTTTTGCTTTTTCACTTGGAAATGTGAACCTTGAAAAGCAGTCCAGACTTTTCTTACTGAAAATATAAATTATTATCATTGAAATCAATATGTATCAAAACCATAAATATGGTAGACCATGTTAAAGTACAAAGAAAGGGGTTTATTTGTTTTCAGAATAATAGCTTAGGCACTACTCATTGCTTTAAAATTACTTTCCTTAAAATATTTAAAAGCAGAAAAGTAACTCATAAATATAACTGTATTTTAATATTCAAGGTTGACATTAATATGTAGTTTACCCATAAATATTTATTAAAAATATATCTTATAAAAAGGGGTTCTTATCATAAATGACTAGAATGCTTTGTGTAGTAAAGTTTTATGTTCATAGCTAGGTCCCCAAAATGTGAATATGTTTATAAGTTCAAATATTTCTTCTTAACTGTTTTTGTTCAAGAATACCTAATTTCTGTGGGACATTAAAGAGAAATAGTTTATTTGGAGCAAGTAAACAATCATTTATTCTTTAGGATATTCGTTTCATCGGGTAAAAAAATGGGGCCACAGTTCTTAAATACAAGTAGCATGAGAAATATCTTCTTACCTTAAGACGTTTAAGGTTTTTGTTATTGTTGTTGTTTGTTTGTTTGCTAACCTATTTCCCTGCTCTATAATTTTTTGAATTATAGATGCCCGTGAGAAGGTAGAAGGGGGAATAAGCTGGATAATTAAAATTCATCATGTTTTTGAAACTTAAATTACATGTGTGTATCAAAGAAAATATACATGGGGGATAATGAACACAAAACAGTGAAAGGACAAACACAATTTACACAGGCACTAAAATGCATTTTAGGAAATATATGAGCCTTGCTTTGGGAAGAAAACAAGCACTTTTAAAAAAAATTGTTATTTCCTTGTCATCCCATGGTCCTAGAGGAGGCATTCTAAGTAGCTGATTAGCCTGCAGCAGGGTCTATTACATAAGGCATGCCGTTGTCCATCAGCGGCTCCGGCACCCTCAGTTTGGTGTCTCATGAGGAGCATGAGGAGCCTGCAGACGATGGGCCTTCTGCCATAGACCATGTCTGACTTCAAGTCTGTAAGTCTGTTCGCAGTTTGTACTTTTGTCACAGGAACATGTTCAACCGCATGAATCGGGGCTACCACAGCAACATCACTTACTGGTTCTTGACAGCTAATGAAGTGGCAGAGCCGGGTTGATAAACTCCAGAGCTTGAGGAGGGCTTGGCTAAACCTTGTTGTTGTTTTTGGTTTGGTTTGTGTATGTATGTGTGTGTGTGTGTGTGTGCTGATTTACTAAATGATGTAGAAGTTGTTCAGCTCATCAAAAATAAAATAACTATGAACTTTTAAATTAATATCTAGATTTACTTTTAAAGTAGGAGAATATTCTCAACCTTGAGTACTTGGGCATGAAAAATACTTTTAATGGCTAGCTCTTTGAAGACCTCCTTCTAATGGAGGAGAAGCCTTACCAGGCTACAGAGGAAGACAATGCAGCCAATCCTGATGAGACCTGATAGGCTAGGGTCAGAGGAAGGGGAGGAGGTCCTCCTCTATCAGTGGACTGGGGGAGGGGTATGGGAGGGGAAGAGGAAGAGAGGGCAGGACTGGGGGAGGGACGAAGGAGGGGGACTACAGCTGTGATACAAAGTGAATAAATCGTAATAAATTAAATAAATAAATAATGAAAAGTAAAACGCTTTTAATAAGAAAAGGTTGAGCTTTTTATTTGTTTTTGTTTTTTCTCAATTCTCTAATTCTCCGAGTTTCTATGACTTACCTACTTTTATCAGCCATGACATTTACCTTAATAAGAAACAAATGTCTGTTTCAAGAATTTCCTTAGGAAAAAAAACAGTTAAAAATGTTTTAAATCTTTAGAACTCCTATCAAAATGCAGTGCCTACTAGGGATATACACCAACACACATACCCAAGGCTTTGGAAATAAAAAGTACATAAACAGCTATTTTCCTAACACTTTGATAATTTGAGAAGAAGCTTATAAATAATAACAAACAGTTGATCTCCAGAAATACATATTTTTGTTTTACTTATATGAAGTTATTTTTCAACAATTTAATTCAAATTTTATTGATGACTCCAGCACAATAAAGAAAGGATTCGCAGAGGCTCTTTTGATTGTTTACATGGAAAAATAGTATGCATATGAAAGGGAAAAATTAAGGCGTCAGATGCCTAGTATTACATATTTGTTGGCTCACAGTGGAATTTCAGGGGGCTTCCTAGCACTTCACAGAACTTAATCACTTACTCTGCCTTTGAGAGGAGGCAGTTCTGTCCCTCATTATCCTCCACCCTGAGACTAGTGGGAGGGCCTCCATCTCAGTAAGAGCTGTGGCCTGCAGGGACTAAAAGGAGATCACATTTCGCTCTAAATGATGTTTACAATTTGTAATTCTAAAATTGTTAATAGTGCTTTGTTTTTGAAAAAGAATACAATCATATTTTTATGATGTGACTAAGGGAGTTCGATGCTTTGTTTTTCTCAAACGTTGAGGAAAAGGTAAATTGAGGTTTGAATTAGACCTTTCTCCTTATGGGAATAAATGTCTGTACATCTTTCACCAGCCTATAGAATCTTCACCGACTATTGTCCTGTCTAGCCCCGAGGTGTGCTTGATTTAATGGGTCCTGGGAGAGCAGGGATTTTTAGCAAACTAGCTGGTTTTTTAGCTTTATTCTGGGGACATATGAGATCTCCTTAGGGGTCTTAAAGCAAGCCTGGCTTACATTATATATTTTAATCCCAACATGGTTCTAAATATTGTCCAATTTTACAATATTATATTCACATCAGAAAGGATTTTAAAAATGAAATAGAACAATTTCAATATGCATTATTTTCTAATAAGCTAAATAAAATGTTTTGTTGTAGTTGTCCTGTGACAGCAAAATAAGTGTGTCATTGATCCTGTTTTTTTGCCTAATATTCATAGAAAGAGACCTAGATATAGGCTAACTTAAACTTACTCAAAACATCTAGGATACCATCATTTTTTCCTAGTTTTATTTGTATACGTAGAAAGTTATTCTCCAAGCCTGGTGACCTCAGTTTGATCCCTTAGACCTACATAGGAGAAGGAAAATGTAGATCCCCACAAGTTCTCTGACTTGTACACCAATATTGCCCATACATGTGCCCACATGCTTGCACACACACATACACACCAAACATAGACACATGTTCATGTAGCTAAACAGAAACAGACACAAAGATACACACATACATACACACAACACAGAAGGAAATAAATAAAATGTAACTTTGAAAATTTAATCAACTTATATCCAGGTTTTATTGTGGCATTTGACTGACTTCAACCTTTCAACCACTCAATAAATTGTGATAATTGTCTCTCACAAACGAAAACACACTGTTACAGAAAAAAAAATGTATAAAGTGACAACATAACTAAGGCATTATTATCACCCTAGTTAAAGCATCTGGCAACACACTGTAGCTTCCCTAGATATTCTTTGCTTTTGCTTTTAGTGGTTTCCATTGTGTTCCTCTCCCATGCATTTCCCATCCTGCTGCAGAGGCCTCTGATTCTGGGAAAGCCAGCATTCTTCATAATGAGAGAAGTTACTCCAGTGACAGGGCAGGACATAGCTGGGGTCTCTGCGAGTGCTCTCAGCAGCCCTCTCCCAGGCAAGGAATAAAGTAAGCAAGCAACAATTAATTTTGTGACTTTATTACTTCAGTCCTTGATTTTCTTCTCTCTTATTCTTTCTTTCTTCATTTTCCACCACTATTAGGGATTCAACATTATGCATTCCAGGAAAACAATCTACCATTGAGCTATATTTATCACCCTTTATTGAGTCTTGACTACATATCTCTGATTTTCTGAGTTTTCTGATTTGTCTCAAATTAAAAAAGAAAAACAATCTTAGATGAATAAAAACTAAAGTGTATAATTTCCAATATGACTATTCTTTCTAAGGTTTTAGTGTGTGTGTGTGTGTGTGTGTGTGTGTGTGTGTGTGTGTGTGTGAGTGAATGTGTATGCACAGAAGTGCACATGCCCTCATCATGACCAGAAATGACAGGTCCCTCTGGAGTTGGAGTTAGAGGAGTTTGTGATTTGTTCAGCATGGATACTGGGAACTGAACTTGGGCCATTTAGACGAGCAGGGCATTTTTCTAATCACTGAGCCATCTCTTTCCAAACATCCCAAACATGTTTGCTCTTAAATGAGGTCATTCTTGTCAATGAATAAAAAAGGCTTACCTTATAGTGCAAATATGTTAGAACATAAGCAATGAAACCTGCTAGATCCAGTGTTCAATTTCTTTCTTCAACCAAAGCTCAGCACTAGAATAATTCAGTTAGAGAGGTTTGTTTTATAAGAATGCCACTGTGTGGGCATGTGCAGCAGATAGAACACAACTGATGACTTATCATTTAATTTTCCACATGTGAATTGTTTTCAACAGCTTCTCTACAAGATGATAGAAGACACAATTTGTAAATGTCAGAAAACATGTTTTCTTATAGCCATGTAAAATCTAGTTATTTGAAGACACACTGAAACAGATGCTGTGTTTCATGTAAATTATTGGTCAGGAGTATTTGAAAAATTAGATTTTCCACTTCATGAAGCAGGCAAACACTCTCTTTGCTGCTGATGACACACAGTCTCTGTGCACTGGAACTCAGAACACCTGTAATACAGTAAATGAGACTAGACACCTGACAAACACTAATGAATAAATAAATAATAGCGTGGCATTCAGATTGAGGACTGAGATCTAATAATCTGAGGCAAGGCTTTGATCTCGCATTTTCTAAATGCTCTCAACATACATGCACTCATTGGCATATGCAAGCAGGCGCACAAAGACACACACATATATACACAAATGTGAATTTTCACCAGAGACTCTAACCTTAATTCCCAAAGACCAACCATCTCCCACAGAAAATAAGCAACCAATATCAGTGTATAGCTGCATTAACCACATTTGTAAACGTAAAAATATTAAGTTAGATTGTGGAATATTCATTTAGAGTGCTTTATTCTTCAAAGCATAAATAAAAATTGATACTACATTACTATTTTAAAATATTTCCAGTGTTCAATTTTTATCAGTATCTACTTACCAAAAACTAATCTATAACAGATATAAGATAGCAAAAAACTAGATTCTTTCCTAAAATATCTCCCCAAAATATTTACAACACTTGAACTTAGAGCCAGTAGACCCATGTTTATTCTTGACTTCTGAAGTTCCTCTCCACAGAAATACTCTGCTCTAAATAGGCTTATTCAGTTAAAGACCTAGGTCTCCAAAGCCCATGACTCTCTAATTAGTACTTCTTGTACTCTTGATTTGATTGTATGATCCTGTGACAACCGTTATTTCTAATGCATGCTCCTCAATATTCAGGCAGCTTACTGACTGCAAACAAACCCGTCCTACTTTGCGCTTTAATTTAAGCATGACTGCACATCAGAGAAAAGAGTAATAAAGACATGCTAACTTACAAGCCCCTCCTGGGAGAGGAAGATAGCTTCTAAATTTCCCCTGAATCACAAGAATGGGAAAATAAGCTAGAGGAGTAAAATGGCCACTGGAATGGTGGGAAGGCATGAGAACAGTCATAAAACATGGTAGCAAGGGACAATTAGATACTATAACTTCTGTCAGCACTGAGGCAAAGGAGCTGGGTGTCAGAGCTGTGATTTGTTTTGTTTTAATAAAACTGATTACTTTTTTAAAATTAAGCTCTGGTTAATTTATATGCTGGTGACTTGAAGAGTGTATTAAAGTTGTAAGAAACACTAAAGAGCCAGTCATGTTCCCACTGTTGCACACTGATGTCCAGTTTCACTGGCAAGAGAAAATTCTCAGAACTCTGGTCAAATAATTATTATGTGAAAAATAGCCAAAGTTTTTAAATAATTAAGATATTTTTTTTAAATTATGAATTGACCTTGGAAGTTAATATCTAACTAATGGAGAAACCTCGTCTACAGTTTGACTCACACACCAAAATCGTGGTCTTATTTGGTTTGTTCCAGATATTG